ATAATAAAACTAGGAGTTATTTATTTATTTATTTTACTAGGAGGTATCTTTATCTTTATAAGGAGACTACCCCAAAGAGAAAGCATTTGCAATTATTTTTCTTTATATTGGAATTTAATTTTTTTTTTTAAATAGAAAAGTAAGACGCTTGAGTAGAGTGACTACTTATTAACCTTATATCAATGTTTTATGGGTGTTTTTCCCCACACACTGCTAAAAATAAGAGGAACAGTTTGGTTCATCCTGTCTTAGCTTCTGCCTGAAATCACAATGGCCCTCGCTGTTGTGAATCTATTTTTAGTTCATCAGGAACGTGAGGGTAGGAAGTGCTGCTTCATGATATAACAAATTAGGAGAAAGCCCTATTTTAGCAGCATTTGTGAAATAAGAACTGAAACAGACAAGACAGGAAAAACTCTAGGAATGAGATTTCATGATTAGTATGTGCGGCTTTGAGTTGTGGTTTAGGACATAAGTTGAGGAATTGGAAGTCTTTTTTTATGTGCTTTTGTTTTTTTCTCTGTGAGATATGGGAAAACAAAATTCTCTTAAAAAGGACTTTTGTTTAACTTAAGGAAGATTATACCAATCCTCCAGGCTTAATGTTAAAAAAGTAAACAAAGAGAAAAATGTTTAATCATATTTTGGTGTGTTGTGACTATTTTTGGTGTCTATCCCTTATGTTCTGTTTGTGATAAAAAGTGAGGTTGCATCTCTTAGTAATCAAATTAATTAAACTTTTATTTATTTATTTATTTAAAGACGGGGTTTCACCTTGTTGGTCAGGCTGGTCTTGAACTCCCCACCTCAGGTGATCCACCCGCCTTGGCCTCCAAAGTGCTTGGATTACAGGCGTGAGCCACCACGCCCAGCCTTATTTTTTATTTTTTTGAGACCGGGTCACACTGTGTCGCACAGGCTGGAGTTCATGGCTCAGTGCAGCCTTCACCTCCCCAGGCTCAGGTGATTTCCCGATTCAGTTTTTTTGTTTTGTTTTCTTTTCTGTTTTGAGACAGAGTCTTGCTCTGTTGCCCAGGCTGGAGTGTAGTGGCACAGTCTTGACTCACTGCAGCCTCCACCTCCCAGGTTCAAGTGATTCTCCTGCCTCAGCCTCCTGAGTAGCTGGGTTTACAGGTGCCCACCACCATGCCTGGCTAATTTTTGTATTTTTAGTAGAGCTGGGGTTTCAGCATGCCGGCCAGGCTGTTCCCAAACTCCTGACCTCAAGCGATCTCACCCATCTCGGCCTTCCAAAGTGCTGGGATTACAAGCATGAGCCACTGCAACTGGCTCAGTTTTTGAATTTTTAGTAGAGTTGGCGTTTCACCTTGTTGCCCAGGCTGGAGATAAAGCCTTTATACCTGTGATTGCATAAAACCATTCTCTTATGAGTCCCCTATCCAGATATTCCCAGGGCCTCAGTCTGCTAAACCAGTTCAAAACTACCACCAGTGTAGAAGGCGGTCAGACCACCAAAGGGCATTGTCCTCTACTGAGAGCCCTGCTGTGGGCAGCCCAGAACACTGCCCCATGCGTGGCTCTTCCTAATGTTTCCAGCAGATATTTAAGATGAGGCAGGATGTATTCCCCCAGTCTTCTCCTACCCCTTATATCGTGTATGGAACTGCCTTTGTCTCTTAACTCTTTCTTCCTGCTTAACAGTCTGCAATATGCTTCACAAAGTCTTGATTCTTCAACCTTTTTGGAAACCTTAGAATCCTTTCTTTCTTAAACCCCGTATTGCAGTGAGTCAGAACATTTATTCTCTGTTTATATCAGTGAGTAGAACATCTGAATTTAACATTTTGGGCTGAACTTGGCATTCAGGTTCATGGTGGCTTCATGTTTTTACCAAGAATAGTAGGTATGCTCTTTCAATGATAATGATAATTAATGTCGGCTAATAAATTAGTCAATTTTATGTTCAGTACATTTTTCTAGTATTTTTTATTTATTCAGCAAATATTTAGAGAGCACCTACTGTGTCTCAGGCACTGTTCTAGGCACTGGTGATCTGTCAGAGAAAGAGGAACAGAAGTCCTTGCCTTTAAGAAACTTCAAGAAGGGGGATGGTAACTAAGCAGTACACAAATAAATATATTACACATGTCATAGGGCAGATGAGAGCCATGGAAGAAAAAATAAGTAGGGAAAGGGACAGGGTGGTGATTTTCTCACAACTCTATGAGGAAGATACTTCTTTTTCTTCTTATTTTTTGAAATGGAGTCTCCATTGCCCAGGCTGGAGTGCAGTGGTGTGATAACAGCTCACTGCAACCTCCTCCTCCCGGGTTCAAGTGATGCTTCTGCCTCAGCCTCCCGAGTAGCTGGGATTACAGTTGTGTTCCACCATGCCCAGCTAATTTTTGTATATATATATATTTTTGAGATAGGGTCTCGCCCTGTGCCCAGGCTGGAGTGCCATGGTGCCACCTCAGCTCACTGCAACCTCCGCCTCCCAGTTTAAATCAATTCTCCTGCCTCAGCCTTTGGAGTAGCTGGGACTATAGGCACATGCCACCACCACACCCAGCTAATTTTTGTATTTTTAATAGAGACGGGGTTTTACTGTGTTGGCTAGGCTGGTCTTGAACTCCTGACCTTGTGATCCGCTTGCCTTGGCCTCTCAAAGTGCTGGGATTACAGGCATGAGCCATTGCGCCTAGCCTAATTTTTGTATTTTTAGTCGAGATAGGGTTTTGCCGTGTTGGCCAGGCTGGTCTCGAACTCCTGACCTCGAATGATTCATCCGCCTCGGACTCCCAGAGTGCTGAGATAACAGGCAAGAGCGACTACGCTCAGCTGATGATTTCATGCCCATTGTACAGACGTGCAGTGTACAGATGTCCATTGTGCAGAAACCGAAGCAAGAGCCGTTAAGTGACTTACCTAGATAGGCTCCAGATAAGTAAAGTAGTCAGTAATAAAGGTTAAATTTGAATTAGAAATCAACCATGAGCTCCTAAATTTTGCAGTCTGTAAGATAATGAAACTTGGCCCAGCGTGGCGGCTCACACTTGTAATCCCAGCACTTTGGGGGGGCCGAGGTGGGAGGATTGTTTGAGCCCAGGAATTTGAGACCAGCCTGGGCAACATGGTGAGATGCCATCTCTACAAAAAATTAAAAATTAGGTGTCCCAGGTATTTGGGAGGCTGAGGCGGGAGGTGAACCTGAGTGGGGGAGGTTGCAGTGAGCCGAGATGGTGCCATTGAACTCCAGCCTGGGTGGCAAGAACAAAACTCCGTCTCAAAAAAAACATTGCATACTATACAGAAGACTATATTTAACATATAAATTATGAATAAGAATAAGATGAATACCCATGACTTGATTACTCATATTGTAAGTATACAACCCAGTGAATTTTCATAAAGTGGACCTATCTGTGACACTATTATCTAGCTAAAATTAAATTAAAACAAAACACCATTACCAGACCCCTAGAATCTCACTCCTGCCTCTCCCAAGCTTCTTTTGCCCCCTTCCCACCCAGGATAACCATTATCCAAACTAATGGTATAGTTTAGTTTTTCTTATTTTCAAACTTGATAGAAATGGAATCATACAGTCTATGTTTTTTTACATCTGGCTTCTTTTGCTCAGGGGACATGGGTAAATCTACTAGAAAGCTTTTTCAGAGGCCCTGCTGTTAGTAGGAGTTCAACAAATATATTTACAATGAATGGGCTAATTTCTCTCCTTCAGTAAGGTGTTGCTCTTTAATTGTATGTTAAAAGGAAGAAGTGGCAGATTATATTTTTATTGCAATCAAGAAAAAAAAAAAAAAAAACCTGATCATTTTCCTCCTACAAGTGATGGTTAAATTTGTATCTTAGTGTAACTTTTGTTTCTCATTGTTTTAGTGAATTAAATTGGCTATTTATTTATTTATTTTGAGATGGAGTCTTGTTCTGTTGCCCAGACTGAAGTGCAGTGGTGTGACCTTGGCTCATTGCAACCTCCGCCTCCCAGGTTCAAGCAATTCTCCTGCCTCAGCCTCCTGAGTAGCTGGGATTACAGGCATATGGCAGCACGCTCAGCTAATTTTTGTATTTTTAGTAGAGATGAGGTTTCACCATGTTGGTCAAGCTGGTCTTGAACTCCTGACCTCGTGATCCGCCCACCTTGGCCTCCCAAAGTGTTGGGATTACAGGCATGAGCCACCACGCCCGGCCAACTGGCTATTTCTTTTTAAATCTTACCTATTTGAAATGACCAAGTTAGGTCATTTTATTTAAATAACAGCAAGCTTTAGTGTGTTACAAGCATAGGCTGGTTGTGGTGCTTCATGTTTATAATCCTAGTACTCCGGGAGGCCGAGGTGAGAGGATCACTTGGGGCCAGGAGATTGAAACCAGCCTGGGCATCAGCCTTTGGCAGAGACCTCATCTCTGCCAAAAACTTAAAAAATTAATTAGCTGTGCATGGTGGCACTCACCTGTAATCTTAGATAGTTGGGAGGCTGAGGTGGGAAGGATTACTTGAGCCTAGGAGTTCAAGACTGCAGTTAGCTACGATTGAAATTCTGTACTCCAACTTGGGTGATAGAGAAGAGATTCTCTCTAAAAAAAAAGCATAGTGTGTTTACTGTAAATTCACCATATCAGCCAAGGAGGTATGATAAACAGATGGTAAAGCAACAAAGATACAGTATATATGTATGTATTTATGTAAGTATGAATTAGAGGTGGGGTCTCACTGCTTTGCTCAGGCTGATCTTGAACTCCTTAGGCTCAAGCGATCCCCCCACCTCAGCCTCCAAAGTAGCTGACACTATAGGCAGGCACCACTGTACCTGGCCAAAATATAGTTGTTAAAAACTGAGGTGGTAGAGCTTGTAAGGATACTGATAGAGCTAGTTATTCTCTCAGAAGAGTACTTTTGCTCAAGGCATAATTCAGTTGTTAAGCTCTGGTATGCTTATGGATAATGTCATTCTCTGGCAGAATTGTGTTTCTGCTGTTTATTTATAGAATGCCCTTTTCCCCTTATGTTGTAGATTCGACGGAGGCGCCTTGCACGACTTGCTGGTGGACAGACCTCTCAGCCGACCACCCCACTCACTTCTCCCCAGAGGGAGAACCCCCCGGGGCCTCCCATAGCGGCATCAGCCCCAGGACCCTCTCAGAGTCTTGGTCTTAGTGTCCACAACATGACCCCAGCTACCTCCCCAATAGGTGCATCAGGTAAGCCTGAGCTTCATACCTGGGATTCTTTTGTGATTCTTCTTAGCTTTTTGTCTAGCTGATGGTTGTGATGTTTCTACAACAGATTAAAATGAAGCAGACATCAGCTCTTTAAAATCCTCCAAGCGGTAGTTTAAATACCATTGCAGCATGTTGTGTTACTGCCTTTTTTTTATTGCAGTCTGTTAAAACCAACTGCTTTTCTTTCCATAACTTCCATCTTTTCTTTTTCTGAACAGGTTTAGATATTATCTCTGATGACAAGATGATTAAGACTGAATTTGGTTCTGCTGATTTTATGAATTTGGTTGATGGTTTTAAGATAAAAATAATCTGAAAATGCAAGATAAAAATAATGGTCAAAATGAAAACCTCTAATTGCAGATTTCCTCGTCTTCATTCTACACTGGCACAGAACTTTTCCTCTAACTTTTCAGGGGATAAGACTCCCTGATAGGATGTTTTAGAACTATCTCATTGACAACTATTCAACTATGGTAAAAGTTCATTTCTTTATAATAAATGAGCTGATGCTTGCTATCCAGGACTGTCTTTGTTGGGAAATAATATTTCTTGATACTGTATATTTGAAAACATCTCTCTTTGTGAACTTTTCTATCAAACATAATATTGTCATGTAATTATTATTATTTTATAATGACTTAGGATTATAGTTGGGAAAAGCGGGTGCTAAGAGACCTCCATTGATTATAATATCATCTAATAATTTGATAGCCTTCCAAATCATCTGTCTTCTTGATCTAGAATCATGTGTCAATTGAAAGTATTTGCAGAGTTTTTGTTGCTGTACTTCTCATTAGGTATCAATGTAGACTACTCCCCACATATATACAAATGTTTATACCCAGTGAGGTTCAGCCAAAACAGTAATAAAGAATGCCCTTGCCTAAAATGTCTTGTCTGTATATCTCTGAGAAGCTCTGTTGGTCTTCTGGTAGGATTGAAGGGTTCAGGGCTCCAAATGTGATTTTTTTCCCTTGGGTATAGTGCTGACAACAGTGCTCTTTGCCTCACCCTGGTCAGGCCATTGCTGGAATCTGTCTTGGAGAGACCCTCTCTCACTTTGCCTCACTCGCTTATTTAAACCAGGATCCTGATAAAATCCCATTCCCCACCTACTCTCTCATTCAGTGGAATAAGACTGTAGAAAAACTCAGAACCATTTCAAACCATTTGAACTAACTGAAAACTTTTGAACTCTCTGTCTCATTTCAAATTCATAATCACATGGCTGGGTGCAGTGGCTCATGCCTGTAATCCTAGCACTTTGGGAAGCCAAGGTGGGCAGATCACTTGAGGTCAGGAGTTTAAGACCAGCTTAGCCAACATGGCAAAACCCGTCTCACAAAAATTACAAAAAGGTGGGCATGGTGCTGCCTGCCTATAATTCCAGCTACAAGCGAGGCTGATGCATGAGAATTGCATAACCCAGGTGGTGGAGATTGCAGTGAGCCAATTTGGTATCACTGCATACCAGCCTGGGTGATGGAATGAGACCCTGTCTCAAAAACGACAACAACAACAAAAAATCAAATTCATGATCACAAACTCAAGTAGACTCTTGATACTGGCAGGCAGTTATACCATGTCCCCCACTTCACTCACTCTGCTGATCGATTTCATACCTTCTTCTCCACTGTGCAGGACCTCATTGTCCATGCTCACTCTCTCAGCTGACGGCCTGGCCTGGCTTCCCATTTCTTTTTCTTTTCTTTTTTTTTTCTGGAGATGGGGTCTCACTGTGTTGCCCAGGCTGGAGTGCGGTGGCTGTTCATAGGCGTGATCATAGTGTACTACAGCTTCAAACTCCTAGGCTCAAATGATCCATCTGCCTCAGTCTCCCATGTAGCTGGGACTATAGTCATGTGCCACCACACTTAACTCTGGCTTCATGTTTCATTGAGAAAACAGACACAGGCAGAACCTAGGCAGGGAACCTCCATTAGCCCCAGTCATCACATCTGTCTGCCTACCTGTATGTGAGCCCAGTTCTTGCCATGCACAAACTGTCCCTGCTCCTGTTGAAGCCTGGATCCCAGATCCCATCTCCCCTCAGTTACTCAGCCTTCACTCCAGCAGTTCATTTTTTTCTCTTGCTTCATCATATGGACTTTTTTTTTTTTAATTTTTTTAACAGCCTATATAATGCAATTATTTTCCCATCATGGGAATGAACAAAAGGAACTCTCTTGATATAATTCCCCCTGCCGGCTTCTACCCCACATCTCTGCTCCAAAACCTTTGCAACAGAACTTCTAGAATGAGTTGCCTGTTCTCTCCGTCCCCTTTTGCCCTTGCACCCTTTGCTGAATCAACTCCAGTCAGGCGAGGCCTCCCGTGGTTGCTCTGAGTCACTTCTGGTCTGATCCAGCAGCCTCATTAGACATGGCTTTCACCCTCTTCTCCTGGAAACACATTTTTCTTTTGACTTCCAGAACAGCACATTCTCCTCGTTTTCATGCTGTCTCTATCTGCTCCTTTTTCACTCTTTGCCTGGTTCCTTTTCATTTCGCTGACTTCTAAATGTTAGGATTCAAGGGCCCAGTAGTTAACCTCTTGTCCTTTCTATCCAGGTTTATTCTCTTACTGATGTCATCCAGTGTCCTGGCTTTAATTACCCTAACTGGATGATTCCTAAGCTTATATCTCCAACTTGGACCTGCTCCTTGAACCTCAGACTCACACACCCAGGACCTTACCTGACATCTCTGCTTGGATGTCTTAATAGGCATCTCACAGCTAGCATGCCCCAAATCAAGCTTTGCTGTTTCCTCACATTTTATCTTCTTCCAGGTTTCCATCTCAATAAATGACAATTCCTGTTTTCTAGGCGTGGGATTGGCAAACTCTTTCTGTTAAGGGATAGATAGTAAATATTTTTGGTTTTGGAGGCTGTAAGGTCAGAACTATTTATCTCAGCTCTGTAGCACAAAAGCAGCCATAGACCATATGTAAATGAACAAGCATAACTGTGTTCCAATAAAACTTCACTCACAAAAACAGTGGCCTAGATTTGGCCTGTGGACCAGAGCTTGCACTGGCCCTGCTCTAGACCTGTCAGAAAACTAGGAGCAGACCAGATTCTCACCGCCTCTTTTCTTCTCATCACATCTGCCGCTATTACCTAGGTCCAAGCACCAGCATCTCTTGCCTGGATTTCTGGAACAGCCTCCTAACTGGTCTTCTCATGCCCACCCTTGCTTCACTTGAGTCTGTTCTCAATGTAGAGCCAGAGGGGCCCCACTAAAGCCTAAGTGCAACATTGTGTAACAGCAGGCTCCATGTGCTGTTATCACAAACCAACAGAAAGGCTTGGGCATTCCCTAAATGGCTAGTTCTTACCAGTGCACCTCTATGCTAAGTAGTCCTGATTATGTTTCTCACATAGTCACCATTATTCATAATCACAAACAGTTGGATATTATTAGCCATGCTTTGGTGGGTTGGATAAACAGATTTTCATGATTTACTAAATAAACAAGTGAAAAAACAAACAGAAAATCTCTCATAAAACAGGTCACATCTATTCTCTGTTCAGGCCAGGTGCAGTGGCTCATGCCTGTAATCATAACACTTTGGGAAGCCAAGATGGGAGGATCTCTCGAACCTGGGAGTTCAAGACCAGCCTGGATGATATGGCGAAACCCCGTCTCTACAAAAAATTCAAAAACTTAGCTGGGCGTGGTGGTGTACACCCGTAGTCCCAGCTGTTTGGGAGGCTGAAGTGGGATGATTGCTTGAGCCCAGGAGGTGGAGGCTGCAGGGAGCTGTGATCACACCACTGCATTCCAACCTGGGCAACAGTGAGACCCTGTCTCAAAAAAGAGAAAAATAAATTTCAAGAAAATATGATAGCTGTTCATTGAAGAGTGTGAAAAGTTGTCATGAGGAAGGTGATAGCTTGTATTTGTTTTCTGTGGTCCTGGAAGTTAGACATAGGGCCAGTGAGTAGATGTATTATCCACTGAATGTGATTGAGAGATTTTGTTCCAAACTCAAAAAGTCCTTTCTTTTCTTTTCTTTTCTTTTCTTTTTTTTTTTTTTTTTTTTTTTTTTTTTTTTTTTTTTTTTTTTTTTTTTTTTTGAGACACAGCCTTGTTCTGTTGCCGAGGCTGGAGTGCAATGGCATGATCTCAGCTCTCTGCAACCTTTGCCTCCTGGGTTCAAGCATCTCTCCTACCTCAGCCCCTGAGTAGCTGGGATTACAGGAGCCCACCACCATGCCCAGCTAATTTTTTTTTTTTTTTGAGACAGAGTCTTGCTGTGTTGCCCAGGCTGGAGTGCAGTGGCATCATCTCTGCTCACTGCAACCTCTGCCTCCTGGGTTCAAGCTATTCTCCTGCCCCAACCTTCTAGGTAGCTGGGATTACAGATGTGCACCACCATGCCTGGCTAATTTTTGTGTTTTTAGTAGAGATGGGGTTTCACCATGTTGGCCAGGCTGGTTTCCATCCCCTGACCTCAGGTGATCTGCCTGCCTCAGCCTCCCGAAGTGCTGGAATTACAGATATGAGCCACAGAGCCTGGCCAAGAAGTGCCATCAGAGACAAATACTGAGTGGGGTGCCACCTGTGGTAAGGAGTCCTTCATCCATGAGTGCTTGGCAGCAGTCCTCTGGTGGCCCTCTTAGTTGAGCTGTTTTCAGAAACAAGTAACTAAAGCAAGGATTGAGAAGCTGCAGGGCATCTTTCCAGTTGCTTTTCCCATCTGTAGTCTCAGCTTCTTGTATTGCCACCTGCTTCTGTATTAGTTTCCCAGGGCTGCTGTAACTACATATTACAAACGTTTGAAGGCTTACAGCAGCAGTATTATTTTCACAGTTCTAGATGCTAGAAGTTCAAAGTCCAGGTGTTGGCAGCGCCATGCTCCCTCTGAAGGAGAGAATCCTTTCTTCTGCCTTCTGATGGTTGCTGGCAGTCCTTGGCATTTCTCGGCTTGTGGCAACGTAACCCCAGTCTTCTCTTCCGTCTTCACATGGCCACCTTTGTTCTGTGTGTGTCTACGTCCAAATTTCCCTCTTATGACATCAGCCAGTGGATTAGGGACCACACTAATTGAGTATGAGCTGATTTTAACTTGCTTACATCTGCTAAGACCCTCCTTGCAAATAGGAATATTACTTCTTTGTTTTGATGTGCGTCCCCTCTTCCCGTTGAATGTAAGGTTAGGCAGGAGCCTTGCCAGTGTTGCTCATTCCCTTATCCCCAGCACCGTGCTTAGCACATGGAAAGCACTATGGGAATGCCAGGTGTTATGTGGCTAAATGAATGAAAGAAGTATTTCTTG